TATATATATGTATGTCGTGTGTATGTGCGTGCGTGTTCGTGCGAGCTTACTTCTTGCCTCTGCATTAATCTGCGAAGCGGAAGACTGAAATCTCGCTCGAACGCAGAAATGTGTGGGAGTTTACGCCGGTCGTGCGGCTTGGCAAGTCTCCGCATGATAAATACAAGTATTAAGGAAAGAGATGTTGGAAAATCGGAAAACACTTTATACGAAAGATTTAAATGTCGACGGTAGCGTGTTTTTAAGACGTGTCGAATTTTGCCAACCTATTTTATAACAAAATTTTGTGCTATATGAATAAAATAATATTAAAAAATGGAAAATATAAAGACACAAATCTGAAAGTATACTCTTTTTTATAATTATTATCACGTATTTATTCGATATCCCATTATGATATTTTGCATTTCTGTATCTGAGTTATGTGAAAAAATATTCACACACTTGACAATTTATTCGAATCATTCTGTCGATGAAAAATATATACAATTTTTGGTATATAATATGATCGTGTTTCTCGAGTAAAATGGTACGGTTTAATATTTTGGGAACATTCTTTTTACAATGTAAAATTTTGAAAATAATAAAAGAAAAGAAGCACGCGCTTTAATGCGTGTACAATGCACTCAATATATTGATAGTACGCCCCGGGGATTATCCCGGTTCCGGTGTTTGGTTGCATCGAGCCGTTTCGTGCTGAAAGGACATAAACGACATCGGTTCACGACCGGCGTAATTTCCCGTAGCAAACGTTCGTTCCGGACGTCCCGCGGGAGAGATCGTCGCTTTTGCACGATATTCCCCAATAAACGACATCGGTTCACGACCGGCGTAATTTCCCGTAGCAAACGTTCGTTCCGGACGTCCCACGGGAGAGATCGTCGCTTTTGCACGATATTCCCCAGATGATAATGATGATGATAATGATGATGATGATGATGATGATGATGATGATGATGATAATGATGATGATGATAACGATGACCGCGTCGTGTTAGGAGAAAGAGTGGCCAAACACATTCGGCCAGTAGGGATAGTGCATGTTGTGTTCGATGTGCGTTGTAATGGGAGGGCACCGGGGGTTCAGTCTCTGATGATCCAGGTGGCAAAGAAGGCGAGTGTGCTGAAGAGGCGGAAGTCGCGGAATCGGATGGATGGCCAGCAACAGCAGCAACAGCAACAGCCGACCCTGCCGCCCGTCACGATATCCGGCGGCATATCAGCCGGCGCCGGAACCGGCCAGAACGACAATCAACGCCTCGAGAACGAGGGGGACGTGGTGTTTTACATGGAGGAACCTAAAGCGGGCACGCCGAATCGCGCCAGACGCGACAATCGGTAAGCGACTCCTATAGAATCAGGAGAGAAATCTTCGTTGGGGCTATTATTTCATAACTGATTCCATGCGTGTGTAAAAATAACTTGATAAATATAGACATAAATAAAAAAAAAATGTTTCTTTTTTCATAAAAAACAATTTTTTTATGAAAAATAACAATAAACGTCGTTTTCTTCATTTTTTTTTTTTTTAGATATTTAATATCTTTATATTTTAATTATTGCAAATTAATTTTTTATTATTTTTAACTTTTTAAATAATAGATTTGAATTAACCATTATTATTTTAAATATAGCTCTTATTCCAATTGGCTATATATGTATATAATTATATAATTATTATTTTTAATTAGGTAAAAAAATAAATTAAAAATATAAGAACTTCACTTTTTTGATTATGTTAACAAAAGAAACAAAAAAAATAACATTATATTTTAAAAAATTATGAAAAAAAATAAAATTTGTTTTTTTTTTTCAACTGTTTTTTCTGTTAGAAAAAGAACGGTTTTTTTGCATTTTTATATTGTTGGAAAATTTATGTTTTCTTGTTAAAAAATCTGCCGGTTAAAATTTTTGCATTAAATATTTAACACATGCATGTGTTACTTTAACATATTGTTGTTGTGTTAATTGAACTCAAATGTTAAATTATTAAAACAACTGGAAAAAAATATAAACGTAACACAATGTGCACATATTTCTAATTTTGCACAATAGATATGTTCCGTATTATTAGTGACTGGATTCATCTGTTAAAAATTACAGAAAAAATATTGATTTTATTCTATAATAATAGGAGTGAGAGAGTGACTGTAGACTGTCAATAACTTTTTTTCCAAGTTACTTTTATTATTAAAAATATGTTGATTTTACACAAAATTTATTTCAAACTACTATGAAGTTTGCATTCATTTTGTGTCGAAATATTGACATAATATTTTAGTGTCACCATTTATCATATAAATATTATGCCAAATTAACACAAAAATTTATGTGAACTGTTTGAGACATGCGATATAAGTTAAATTTAACACAAATTTTCTAACTTTATATTGATAGAACAATCAAAAAAGAGTACCATCGCGTTAAAAAATAAATCGGAAATATATATAAAATCAAATTTTTTGCTCATAATTTAATTTAAAATGCTTTGTACGTAAAAATGGTGTACGTACATACGAAAGATTTTTTCCTCAAATATTCTATCTCAAGTATTGTCGGCGAAGAAAATTAGAATATGTATTAAAATAAGAGAAAAAAATTATTCCGACTTTTCAATCAGTGTCGTTCACAGTATCATATATGCAATTCGAGTTTAAATTTGGTGACAGTGCGATAAAGTTTTACGTCGTCATCTTTAGGACGGATTTCTGTTCATTTCTTCGAGCGGAAGAGTATCTCGGAAGCTTCGTTTACAGCTCAGTAAAGTAAACGGAGGTGAAGCTGGTATCATGAAATTGGCGAGCTTATTTCTGAATGCTCGCCGTCTTCGTCGTCGAGTAGTATCGAGTGAAAAGTGTATCTCGAGTGAGGTGTCTCGATAACTTCCTGAGTCTACGAGTAATTGCTCGTTGATTCTCAAAGAAGATACATTCGTTTGCGAGAACACGTATAAGCGCGTTTACCGGCGAGAATCTTCTACCGCTTTAACTTCGAGCAAAATTTCTCGAGTGACGCTTTACTTTGATAAAACAGTGTGTTAATTAATTATAAAAATTCGCTTGCTTGCTTTATTAATTCATTTTTAAAAATAATAAATTTTTCGCTGAAGCTGAGATTTGTTTCGAATGCTAATTTGACAGATATGTTACAAATTTGGTGATATAGTTACATCTAGAAAAATCAATTTTTTTTTTAGAACGAAGTTGTATGAAAAAATTTTATTCTGCATTAGCTTATTTTTTTCGGTTGTATCATATTTCTCGACTCACCTAGTATTTATGTTTCAATATCACGTTTGCATGTAAAATCTCGATGTGCTCGAGAAATTGAGTGAAGATACCAAATAATAATTATGTGTAACCCGATGAAGAATCGCGTTCTGATTTACGAATGATAACAATAATAGTAGGAATAATTTAATTAAAATCCATTTATCGATATATTATATATGTATAAATGTCATCTGATATATCTTCCATCAGCTTTTGAACATATTAGTTGATAATGTATTCAAAAGTTGATGGCAGATATGATATGATATTTGTACGTTAATTTGTCGTTGAAGAATCGCATATTTCCAATGCGTATAAATTGGCCGCATTATTGAAGGAATTATCGGGATTATGATATTAATATTTCTTTTAACATATTCTGTCTAATTATAATGATAATATCTTTTCTACACTGTTGGAAAATTTGGCTTAAATTTAACATACATCGCATGTCCCAAATGGTTCACACAAATTTTTGAGTTAATTTAACATAATATGGATATGTTAAATGGTGACACTAATACTATATTATTTCATTACAAAATGAATGCAAACTTTATAGTAGTTTGAAATAAATTTTATGTAAAATCAACATATTTTTAACGACGAAATTAACTTGGAAAAATGTTATTGACGGTCTGTAGTCACTCTCACTCTTATTGTAGAATAAAACAACATTATTTTCTGTAAATTTTGACAGATAAATCCTTTTATTAATAATACGGAATATATCTATCGTATAAAATTAAAGATATTTGCACATTGCGTTATTTTTACACTTTTTTTTAGTTGTTTTAATAATTTAACATTTGAATTCAATTAACACAACATAAAATATGTTAAATTAACACATGAATATGTTAAATATTTAACACAAAAATTTTAACCGACATATTTTTTAACAAAAAAACACAAATTTTCCAACAGTGTAATGATATTTTTTTTAACGTATTATGTCTAAAGATAACTGGAAAGAAGCCTTGAGCTCATAAAAAATTTCGACAAATCGCAACGTTGCATTACACGAGACAATATTTTGCAATCCACCTTTGATTGATGCGAGTTCAGAATTCATACCTGCGGTGTCATCGCAGTGTAATATTTCAAAACAAAGTGTAAAACTCCCATTTAATTATCTGTTATTTATACCGGCATGGTATCCGTTAAAACATCCTCCAACGGTATTTCTCTCGTTTCTCAAGGGATGCAATCCAACAAATTGCTCTGGAGAAAGACTCTCGAAAGTTGTGCGATGAAAGCGGAATAACGATACAGCATCAAGTACATTAGATGGCCAAAAGATATTTTAATATTTACTAGATACATCTTTAATGACACTTTCAGGATGAAATATTCACGTATAAAATATCATGACAAAGAAAATTAGAGAAAGATGATCCGCTAAGAAAATATCGACTTTAAATTAACGCAAATAATCTGTTATTAATAAGATGACGTCAGTACGAAAATTTATTGGTCCAATAAATGTTAAGATATTATCAGATGAATACTGACGATCCTATATAGCGTACAATATAATTATAACAGAATTATTAATTTTCTTCACTTCTAGAAGACATTTTCAAATTGAATGCAACGCGTGTCTTTGAAAAGTCCAAGGATTTATATTATTGATTAATTTGATATAATATTTTATAGCTTGTGATATATTTTTTAATTATACACATACTTAATTTCTCACATTTCTCAAACATAAAAAAAAATACCAAATTATTAGACACATAGTTTTAAGCATCTTGTGACACATAAATATCTAAATTCTACGTGTTTGATCTAAAAATGTTTAATTCAGAGGCGAGAGAGATTGATAACGCTTATAACGTTCACTGCTTGACGTATCTGTCCGAGATATTAATTTTGAAAAATTGGGATATTATGAATGCGGCAGTAATTGAGACAATGGGACTTTGCCAAAGTTCGCGATTTATAAAATATGCGGCCAATGTCGCATGAATTGTACGACGGGCGAGCAGCGGTTTGCGAAACTTTTCGTGACAGGTACACGTCGATCCCGTCCGAAGAGCGCTTTCTCTAGAGCAATTCCGCGACGTCAAAAGAACTGACTCGCAAGCCCGTTAGTTTGAGTAGCGTGTTTCCGATTGGCAGGGGAAGCCTCTTCACTTCGCAGACGAGCTCGGTGACGGAGGCAACTAGCGATGAAATTGACATCGACATCGAGGAACCGCAAAGAGTCACCACGTGAGTATATACACATTCAGTGTCCTTAGTAGAGATAAATCTGTGTCATAATATTATATATCGCGTTTATAATAGAAAATAATATATGCAGGATATATGTAAAAAAGAATTACGAGAAATTTTAGGAATTTGTAATATTCATCAAAATATATCCAAAAGAATTAAATTATGAGAAAACTTGTTTCTAATTAAATTAATTTATATTAAATTTGATGAAGTAATTGTTTGATTGTGATGTGCTATTTGTCTGCTATTTGTTTCAATATTCACTTGAATATATTTTGTATGTTTCCTCAGTGAAAATGTAATACATATTTAAATGTCTTATTTAGAAACCCATTTAGAGAGCGTGATATACACCGTTGTTACGAGAACAGCGAATTCAAAACAGAATTAAATTGTTATCGGAAAATAACAGAGAGAGAGAGAGAGAGAGAGAGAGAGAGAGAGAGCGAGAGAGAGAGAAAATATTTGCTATAAAATAAGGTAACAACGAATTCGGAAACGAATAATTTTGGAATCCATGTTTATTAAGGATGCTTTGGCTGTACAATAGTAGTAAAAAAACTATCAAAATTTAAAAAAAAGAATATATTTTTTATGTTTATATTGTTTGGAAAATTAAATAAATAGATCTGGATTTTAAAAAAAATTAAAATATCAAAAAATAATTTTGATTTAATGATTTTTAACGTTTTCATAAAAGAAAATAGTTGTAATCAATATTTTTCCCAATTTATGACAAAAACTTTTGGTCATGAATATCCCTTGAAATTAAAACTGCAAGAAACAAAAAAACGAGTAATTTACAGGAAGATTTTGGGTACAAGTATTTTGCTATAATTTTTAGTAAATAATTTTTAAACGGGTCAGTGAATTTAAATCAAGTTTTGTACAAATGTTTATTAGAGTTCTATTAATATATGTGAACATTTTTATTTAGCTGGCAGTGTTCTTTCGTTGTCAAATTTGTCAATAAGTGTTACGCGATTTTCCATAAGAATCAATACAAACTTAAAACTTAAATAATTTCCGAACCAAGAGAATTGTGTGTGTGCTCAGGTTTTGCACAGATACTCGAAAGAAATAGTAGAACAATCTGCGAAATTTTCATGCTTCTGTCAATGTTTTGACATATGACACATATATCCTTAACCGAAGAGAGCGTACGGAAATTTACACTCAAAAAAATGTCTTGCTGATATAGGTAGATTTCTAGGTGTCACAACAAAACTTTATCGCTATTTTTTGTATCTGTTAGAATATTGTCTGTTACATATAGAATTTATAGCAGCAATATTCTAATAATATCTTCTAGAAAATTTAGGTCCCATTGCCAAATGTTAATCACTGCATTGGATAAATATGAGTTTCGATACTACAGAACGATCTTTGTGAGAAATATAACTGCCAATTATAACTGCAGCATCGAAAAATTGAGAAAAATTGTTTAAAAGAGCTAGATAGATTGAGCGCGTTATACAAATATGTTAGACGTGAGGATTATATATTCATTTGTTTCTTGCCGCTAATTTTTTCTGTCTACCACAGCCAAACTTTATAACAAGTATGATTGGCCTTAACATGGATAGGCGCCACAGAAAAACATTCTTTCTAAATTTCACAAACAGTTCAGATATAAATTCTGTCTCTGTCACTTAGATTGATTAAATGCGAAACATATGCGATATCACAGTATTTGCTAATCATTTATGTACCTCAGTTAATTTTGCGCACCAAGAAAATTTTTGCTGTAGTTGCAATACCACTTTTTTGAGTGTACGATTATTCTCACAATACTTTATGAATTATCTATGCTTTGTCTTCACAAAATATAATACTTTAAAAAATTATATGGAGATACATTTTTAAAGTTACAATTAAATATTCGCGCATGAGAGAGCGTTAGATGCGCGGCGCATTCGTTTTGATACAGAGGAAAAACGAAAGGAAGGAAGTCGCTGCACCGTAACGACTGATGTTTCCGTTTGGAGCAGCGGCGGCATAGACGAAAACTCGTCGGCGGAATAAAAGTTCCACCGGTGCTTCCACCGGAAGCAGCAGCCGTTGCGCCATTATCTATTTCGTTTTTCATTCACATACGTTCGGATGCAGGTGTGAGTACAGCTTTAGGTACGGAACACCTACGAATAATATAGTTGAGAGCGTAATAGCTCTAAAATAACGAGAATCCACCACCAAGATAAAAATTTCCACGTAAAATTCTATTCCATAAATTAATAACGTATTTTACATTATAATAGAATTATCTACAAAATCGTAGGAATGCATATTATATGTACTCTCTGTTTGATATAATAATTCAATTTGAAATATATAATTCAAATACATATATAATTGAGTAAAATAAAGCCTTGATATAATTCAGTTGCGTGACAGTTGCTCGAATAATATTGCAAGCGCTGTGCTTTTCGTACGGAAAAATGTATCACGAGAAGCGAAACCGAACCGCCTATTACAAGGGTGAACGACACACCCTCTAGGATAAGGGTTCGGTTGCGCATCGTGTAGGAAACCGTACGAAGAATAGCTGGAAAGAAAATATCTAACATCGAAGAAGATACTTCGTCGTAACCGAAAAGGCTTCTTTTGTACGAAAATCCGTTACAGAGAAATTCATGAGTCGAGATAAACTTGCATTAACTTCGCTCTAATCTCTCTGTGAATTTATTTGGAATATTTAACATTAAGACTGTTATCTATAATGACATTTTTTCATAAAGTTTCTTTATTAATATTATTTAAAAATAAAATTAAAATAA